TCATGAAACACCATAATATTTTAAGGAACAGTGTCTAACTTGCAAATTTCGGTACGGCACGTTTGATTTATAGCTTGGCAAAACTAAGCTAAGGCAAGTGCAGCTTGCTACAAAAGTGTGGGTAAGAAAAACTGGACACAAGCGTGGCAAGATTTAGCAAAAGTTAAGTGTGACACATGACCGTAGAATATTAAAGTGCAGCAATGCTTATAATTCATATTAGACACATACCTAAAAAACTATGGTTCGCCTAAGGTTAGGTATAGCAAACTGTGGCTGGGAACTGCATGTGCCCTTGGTTACGTAATTTTGTGGATCTTGAGCGTATGCTGGTATTATGACGCCTTATAATTCATATTAGCACTAGTTATTGTCTGCGTCCCAACAGAAACAATAAAAAGTTGGCTGACAAAGCTACTACCCATGTTCTTTTCTATTGTTGTTTTAGACATTAGAGTTTGTTGTCGAAGGGGAATTACTGCTTTACTACGATCTCATTGAAGAAACAAAGTCATGTAGAACTGATAGCGGCTTCTGCTTGGTCATTGATGCCATCTCATGTTGCATACTTTATTCGCCGTGGGCATTGGGCTTGGGCATTACAGTGTTGAGATTAAACTTCTTGATTATTAGTTGCTCCAACTTTGGTGTAAAATCTTGTCTGTTTCCATGCGAAGCATGGATATCTTCTATTTATCAAGTTTGATAAGTAGGTCATATCTAAGAACACTTGTTTTTCTTCTCATGTACTCCCTCCGTCCCATAATATAAGAGCGTTTTTTGACACTACACTAATGTCAAAAATGCTCTTATATTATGGGACGGAGGGAGTATTATGTTACTAAGCATGTTATAGGATTACGGCTGTTAATGTTAGAAGTTGACTGAACTCTTACCGTAAAATACTAAATAGTCTAGTGGAGGAAAAGATTGCGTGCTGTTCAACAGTAATACATGTACATTGTCATTCTTTTGTCAAGGTAGCAACATAAATTTTATGTGCTGTATAGAGCAGTTTTGCATTTTTCTTTCATTTAATCTTTTCCCTTATGCTTATTCATTTCTTGATCAGAATCAAGAAACTAATTGACATGGAAGCTTTATCGCTGTCACGCTTGAAATTAGTGGTACTCGACATGCAGAGGGACCCGAAGTCGTTTAATTTGTTTACGCTACCGCAAGTCAGGTACCACATACGTCAGCAACTTCGGACATTCAGAAATGCTATATGCAACCAGTGCCATTTCCATCTTATTGTATTTTCATATTACTTTTGATGCAGCAACGAGTTTTGGGACCTGTACAAGGGATATCTAGATGAGAAGGTTAGAGGAGGCGACACAAGAATATGCTTTTATGGTGCTGTTTCTGAGAAAGATGCCAAGAAAGTCCTAACGCCTGCTGAGTAAATGTCTATACCGTGAAGTAGTGTCCCAAGTACACTTACCAATCGTAGTTTGCAGCAAGATATTACTCCCTCCGATCCAAAATAAGTGTGGTTGTTTCAGTTCAAAGGGAGTAGGAATTTTGGTCGGGTGAGAAAATTAGGAGTTTTGGTTGCGATTTTCCAATGTACCTTGCCACTCCTTGCTGAATGAGAAAGTCTGCAAGACATACAATGTTTCCATGAGACTGAAGCTGCGGTGTTGGAATTCATATCAACTAATGAAAACTCATGAACTCAAGCTAGGATATTTATGAACTCCTGTGTAGTGGTGTACATCTGCTATGCTAGTGTTAAACAACAAACTAATTTGGACTTGACGCCTTTTACTACTCGTATAATATAGTTTTGTTTTCCGAGGGAAGGTCATTGTGACTGGTTTTATTGATTTGAAAACATGGCTACAGCATTCACAATTACACTCATGATAAAGCCATCCAGTTACAAGGTATGCGAGAAGAATGTGTTGCTGCATTCGCCCGTCTTGGACAATGTGTGAATTCAACCTTCCTACCGTTGTAAAACGCTCTGCACTAGTCTGTTGCTGATTTCTGACGAGTTGGATTCCGCCTGAACAAAACTATAGCAGATCAAATTAGCCAAATCAAGCCCATTCTTCCTTCATAGTAACACCAGGGACAATGAAGACCTCATTCGTGTCTGGGATGATAGCACGTGCTGCCCCTAAGAAGGATGGAATTGGCGTGGTATGTGTTGGCCCGCGTGCTTTATTCGGGGACATGGAGCCGACCCGATAGACCGGGACCCGATAGACCGGGTGACTCGCCTCATGTCCCTCTGGGTAACATGTTTTGACACACTTTAATACTAAATTTGCACAAAATAGAGAGTGGTAAGAGCATAGTCAAGTGCCTCAAATGCCCGGAGGGATGGCCCAGTCATTGACCGGTCACAAAAATCTAACTCAGACTGACTTCTTAAACGGGCCTCAAACATTCAGGTTGACCGGCATCTCTCGTATCCAGCCCAAATATGGGGCGTTCGGGCGCGTCCGTCACGTCGGACCTGACAGCCCTACCCCACCACAGTTTGCATCAATTCCATCAAACCTTCCTCCTCCCGCCGCCCTCCTACCTTTCCCGCGCCCAAGCTTTCGCTGTCCGCCACCCTTGCTCCCATCCTTACCACCGGTCCCGATCCGCCGCCCTAGATGTCGTCCAGCCCGTCCCCGACCGCCACGACGGAGACTGCGTCCACCTCGCCCGTCGGCGTCCCTTCCTCTGCTCCGTCGTGCAAGGCGAAGAACATTGCCCGTAAGATGCGGTGACGCCGGCAACGAGAGAGCGAAGTGGTGGCGGCGCAGGGAGATGCGGACATGGACGAGCAGCCCGGATGTAGGCGGAGCATGCGGCAAGGATGCAAAAGGAGCAGGCAACCCAGATGCAGGCAAAACAAGATGCAAGCATGGCTTTGGAGCAGGCAGCATGGATGGCGTCCGGCCAATGATCCGGCAAGCGAGTCATCTGTCACACTCGGACATGAATTTCATTTTGGCATGTCCGGTTTGTTGAATTATAATTTGCTTTACTTTGTTTCAAACTATTGAATTTGGACAATTTGTATCGCATGGTCCACGCGGATGGATTGCATGGTTTTGATGATCCGCATTTGAGATATGTGGGTGTGCAGCGCAAGATACGAGGGGCCGGTGGGAGCTCTCTGCAGTACTTTGATTCAAATTATCATTATTCATTACTTAGATAATCTCCCTGATAGCATTAATAATGATGAGCTAGACTGAAACCCTTATATGCCTCCATTTGTTCCTTGCCATACCAATATAGTGCAAGGAGTCCTATTAGTGAACCACCAGTTTGAAGTGTTCACCGACAACATAGTCATGGTAAGATTTTAGAGAAACCGTAACTCTCTAACCCTCTCGTTGCAGATATATGAGAATACATGTTCACCATGCTCAGTGCACCATCTCTCACTTGAAAGGAGTACTTATTGCTTCGAAAGGTAAATAAAAATAACGTAACGATTGTTTCAATTTTGCTGCACACCTCCTTATATTTTTTTGCAAAAATACAGTATCTAATTAACATGAGGAGGGAGGACAATTTTTTTTCACCAAATCGTGTACCTCCAGAAGGGAAGATGGGGTGCAGTACGACCGGGTTCGTACCAGCTCCAGCAGCGAGAAGAAAACAGTTCCAGACGAGAAGATAGGATTCAGTACTTACGAAATCTAGGAATACCATGTTTCTGAAAACGGGTGCACTGCCAATTTGGAACCTTTTTTTTTTGGTGTATCACAAACTAACAAAATGCAAAATTTACCCATACATGCTCTCCTCAGTGAGCAAAATACTGACGTAAACAAATTTCTCGAACAACCCATGTGTTGAACTTTGATTGGCGAAGGAAGGTTTTGTGCTCTAGGAAACACCTTACCAGCAGGATGGCTGTTGCACGCCAAAGGGGTAAAACTCTGTGATTGCGATGAGCTAAACAGAACCTAGATGAACTAACTACCTATCAAAATTATTGTTGTCTAAGTAGTTCATCAAACTTCAACATCCAGCTCAGATACCTACAATGAAGTGATGAAAAACTAAAGTATGTCAGTACGAGAACATAATGCCAACAGATCAAAGTTCTGTTTAGAAAGTAAAACTAATTACGTATCAAAGCAATTCGCCAACAGATTTCTGAGAATATAACTACAGAACTAATTTCTGGTGTGCATTTAAGAAGGTTTTGCATAAATGCCACCAGCGATTCTCACAGGCTTCTGAGAATTCTAAATGTACATCAGTTCTGTCAGTATTAACAGCCTTTTCCTGATTCCACATGAAGTAATGGATACGGAAGGTGTGCAATTGCATCTTGATCCGAAGTATGTAATGTATTTAATCCTCAAAATCACTCCCTCCGTCTCATAATATAAGATGTTATTACGACCGATAGTGGCCGCTATCGGTTAGCAGCCACTATCGGTTGTAATAACATCTTATATTATGGGACAGAGGGAGTAACATGCAAGGTAAATCAAGAAAATGGTTTACTTCTATGTGGCTTTCAGGTTTTATTCACATGTTGATGCAAAGTGCAATAAAATTCTTCTCCTCAGCTTTTCAGGGTCTCACTACAGAAATACCACAAACAAACGGGCAACAAAGATGCAACTTTCAGTTAATATATAAACATATGAACAGCATCCTGAACAAAGATTTAAATATATCCGATGAAGACTCGCCATTTTATGTAAGCAAGCAGTTGCTATAAAAACATACAAATAAAGTAATGTAATACATATATTAAGTTTGTTTGTTTATGGAAATGGTAGAGTCCTGCTATCTTTTCCAAGGAACGTTACATCTTTGATTGAATGATACCATTTTAGAACTATTCAGTGAAGAGGACTGGTGGTGGAAGCTGGTAAAAAAGATAAACATCAGGTTGGTTAAATTTTGTCAGTTCAAGGTAGTACGACCTTGATGGCTGTATCCATATCCAATACATAATACCCAGCACAAACACTCATATACGTGAGTATGGGGTGAATAAACAATTAAAACAAATATCATTGCCCGTGGGAAATTTGTGTACACATTGTAGACACATCCAGGTACAGCCCGGCCCAACATGAGGTGCGGGATGTAACCTAATTGAGGCCACTCAGACACTCAAGCGTGCTCCTCCATGTTGCAAAGCTAAAGAAGTACAAACAGCAAAGCCAAAACATGTGTTCTTCACATCTACCACTGGGAATGATTGTGCAAGTGCTGCTTCATCAAGCTTGAACACCGGAGGGCGCCTAATTATTTTTATGACATATTAAGTATCATCCATTACCGAAAATAATTTTTAAAATGTATCTCATGCATCTCTATCATGATGCATAGGCTGTACCTGGCTACATCTTGGCAGATGCAGAACCCTACTTCAGTACTACCTACATCACTTTCTTATGTGTAAGTACTTGATATGTATGGAAAATCATTTTAACACTACCTAACAGTAGAGCAAAACCCGGTCCAGAAAAAATAGGACAACTACTGGGTGTGGCGCTTAAGATTGGCCTTCGCTTACAGAACTCATTGTAGAAAAACTAGGCCCACAAAAAATAACATGAACCAATAATTATGCATGAGTAGCATCTGCATGAGATGCAATGCAAGCAAATAGGTGAAGAAAATTTATTCGAGCCATGCCCTTTCCAGGCAAAGGTTGTCAACTGAAATTCCTGCCAGTTCAAAACTAAAAGGGTACCCTAACTAAAAGGATAGAATTCCATAGCGAAGTTATTACGAATGCATGCTTCGAAACTAACAGGAAGTCCTTTTAAAAGATCGGTTGTGAACGGGAAACATATGCACCCTACATGATGTTCCGATATTTTTGATTAGTTAAAATTAGATGGAAATTTGATTGGTGAGACAAATGTAATTTATAAGCAAGAAAATGCACTAACAATTAACAATTTCCCATATTCAGGAACTGTAACGGACTGTCACTACAATCGCAGCAGAAATAGTAAAGCATTTTCTGCATAAGGATACAGAAAAAGGATACAGCTGACGGTATTAACCCAGATGCCTGTATCACACAGTATACTGCAAGATCATGTCAAACAGCTGTGTAAAATTAAGTGCCAAACAATAAAAAGAACAAAAAATATTGCAAATGAGTAAGCATACCTGAGATCACCAGGAAAATGTACTCTATTCCTCAGTAATTCAGATCACGCATCATGGTATGCTTCACGAAGATCCTCATCAGAATATCTGCTTTTGGGATCATATCTATCACTGAACTGGTCTTCGTTCCCAGGTATTGATCCATGTCTGTTCTGAGTAGTTCTGGTTCTATCATTGCTTTTATCTCCTGGCATGCCACCGTATTCTCTTTCTGAGGATTTTGGTGTTCGTGTGGACCATGCTGAACGATCACTTGATTCAGAATGGTAATCTGGGATGTTCTTTTTATACTTATTAC